ATATTCATTCATTCAAACAAATAAAAATATAAAATTTTATTCCTAAGAATATTACAATAATCAATATAGTATTTAATACTATTTATTTTAGACTAAGAATTCAAATAAATTGGATTGAGTTGAATCTCATCACTTTCTTATATATTTAATTAATTAACTATTAATAAAATTTCATAAATTTTAGTGTGTTTTATTTTTAGAATTTAATTAAGCAGATATTATTAACAACACAGTGAATCATCCATATTTCCTACTAAATAAAGAAATAAACAAAGTCTACCTGCTCCCTGAAATAAATTAGAAATTCTAATAGAAAGAAAATCATCAATTTACACTAATACATATTAAACAAGATATTTAATTTTGTATATGTTAGTAAAATATAGAAATTTAAATAAATAAATAAATACTGTATAGCATTAGTTTTTGTTTGTGTTTGTATGCCAATTTTAATTTTAAGCAACTAATTCAAGTAGATTTAAACACAGTTTTGAAATATTTAAATTGGTCTTTTAACAATCAATTTTCCATTTATTATGATTTATGATTATTTATTTATTTTTGAAAAATAATTTTTATTCATATTCACTTATAGGAATTTAATTAGGATATATTTACATATTTAAGATTAGTTCTATAAAATAAAAACAAAAAACAAAAATTAAAAATTATGTTTTATCCAAATTAAATAATATTTTACTATTATTTAGGTTACTATTTTCATAAAATAATTTTAATTTATATATTGGTTTGTATGAAGTAATTTACCTAGAATCGAATTATTTCAAAATTAAAATTAAAAACTGGTATTTAAAAAATTAATTTTAAAAATTGGGTGTAAAAAAATTGTTCGCCAGACCTCACTTTTCCTCTTATATCAAATATTTTTAACACACACTAATGATATTAAATATTTTAATCCAAAAGATAATTCTTAATTATAAAGAATTTAATTTAAATTTATGATTTATAATACTAATTAATTTAAATTTATTCTTTAAATTATAAAGTAAATACAGTTTTTGTCATTTGATATTAATTTTTGTAATATTTTAAAAATGAAAAATAAATAAATAAATAAAAATTTATAAAAAATATTTTAGGAAACTTCTTATTTATTGATTTTGAATAATTTTCTTTTTTAAATGTTTTTGTATACTTATGAATATTAGTAATTCAAATTTGTGATTTGTGGAAAAATAAGCAATTTAATTTTTGAGAAATTTTTAATAAAATTATGGTGCTGTTTGATAGAAAATTTGTTTGCTTATTTTTTATTTATCAATTATAAAAGAATTAATTGAACTTCTTAGCATTCAAAAACAAAAAATCAGTATATAGAGATTATTGACTGATAAGTCAAACCTCATTTAATTTTTTTTTTTCATAAATGTAAAAGAAAGAAAGATTTTAAAAAATAGATATGTTTAATTATTTTTAAAAATGTCAAAAACAATATTAGAAATTATACTTTGCAATTTATTTTTGTTTAAATAAGAGCCATATTATTAACAAGAATATTTATTTATTTAAATTAAATCCTACAAAATTTATACGAGTATATAAGCATTTTATCACATTAAAACCTGCTGCAGTGTTTTAATAAAATATAATGAAAAATTAAAACAATAAAATA